GTCATAAACACATTAAGCCAAGATGTAACAACTTTATTACAAGTTGTAACAAGCGGAAAATAGAGACAGTTTCGGTTTGTGTTTCCAGGGTAGCTTGTCAAAAGTACCCCTGTCTCTACCGTTCCCGAGGCTTTTTCTTATTGGATTTTCAACTGAAGAAAATCATGATGGTATCTACGACTTCGGCAGGTAGGCAGTTCCATGGGTTTCGAACCCTATGCGTGAAATTAGTATTTCCTGTTTCCAGTCCTACGGCGTGATGCTCTTGCTCCTTGTTTGTGTTACGTTTGACCTTATAATGAAGTGGTTTAGGTCATAATCCTCCAACTTTGTTGAGTATTGTTAAGGATGAGATCAGCCTTGTTACGTGTTACAGCTTGTTTGGAGTCGAGTATTTCTTGAGGCCCTCGACCGACCAGTCCTGGGATGGGAGCTGATTTAGTTCTGCTATCATTTTATTCTAGATTTTAATTTTATGTAAATTATTTGCTTTGAAGTAATGTACATATTTGTTGTATTATGAATCTTTACTTTAATGTGTTGTGAACTATAGAAATTATTTTAATTTTCATTCAGATATATAAAAAATTCTTATGTCGTATTTTGTCTTCCTGTTCTGTCTGTCTGTCTGTCTCTCTCTCTCTCTCTCTCTCTCTCTCTCTCTCTCTCTCTCTCTCTCTCTCTCTCTCTCTCTCTCTCTCTCTCTCTCTCTCTCTCTCTCTCTCTCTCTCTCTCTCCTAGTACATTTTCCTTTCCGTTTATATATTTTTTTAGTGAAGCTTCACAAGTTTATGTGATGAGATTTGTATTTTTGTTGGCTGGTCCGCACGCCTCGAATTGCTTTTAACGTAAAACTAATGGCTCAGGAAAACGACCGAAAAATGGTCTCTTATATAAAGATGTTGATGACCAGCACAGGAAATATATATGGCCTTTTGTTTGAGAAGAATATATATATATATATATATATATATATATATATATATATATATATATATATATATATATATATATATATATATATATATATATATAAACAGTGTTTAGATAGGAGATGCCTCGTATGGGCCAATAAGCCTTCTGCAGCCCCTATGTTTATCCCTTATGTATCCCCCCATGTTTTTCACCTTCATTGTATTATCACCTGACCTAATGCGGGTATAAAATCAACTAGTATTGTAAGATTGTTCACTTGAGAATGAACCATGGAGGTTCGAAACGTCGTGCAAATTATACAAATAAGTGTAATACACTCTATAGTAAATCACTTCTTTTCTTCACCTTAAAAGTACGAAAAATGAGTTTTGGAGAACTCCTATTTCAATTAAGCCCTGATGCTAAGAAAATAGTTAGAGGGATAGAAGCCCTAAACCAGAAAATAATAAATACAGAATATGCGGTATATATTGAAAGAAAACCTGCTGCCAGTATACACCAATATATATATATATATATATATATATATATATATATATATATATATATATATATATATATATATATATATATATTAAACGTAAAATGTAGTTGTTACAGTTAATGAATATGACCTACGAAAGATGTTTTAAATTTTTCTAGCATGAATTTTCTCTTGCGTTTCTCAAGTTTTTCTTGGCTGGTGTAGGAAGTTGAAAATCAGCACTGCAAAAAGTTAATTTTACATTTATAATGAACCTGACGCATTTTGCTAAGTCCAGCGTAGCATTCTCAGGGGCTAGGAGGACGTGAAATAAAAACAGTAAAACAGCCATGAGGTAAAACAGCCATGGAAGAATGTTTATAGGATCGGTGTTGGTCACAGAGAGAGGACTGGGAACACTGGTCCTCTATTGTCACTGGTCGGCAGCCAGGTGGGCAGCCAGGTGGTGGGCAGCCAGGTGGGCAGCCAGGTGGTCAGCCAGGTGATGGACAGCCAGGTGGTCAGCCAGTGATCTGGTAGATCCTGTCGAGTCATGATGAAGGAACTAATCTTCCGTGGAACTGACAACACTGTGGCTGACTGTCCCCCCCAGGTGGACACACACTCACAACACAGACATACCTTTAAGGTGATGTATTTTGTAAGTCCCTTGGCTTTCAACATTTGCATACCGGATGCAACTTATAAAGTTAATGATCTTAACTTATAAACTTATAAAGTTTATAACTCAACTTATAAAGTTAATGATTCGTGTCTATAAAGTTCCATCCACAGGTATACAGAAATTGATGAGTTTGAGACCATTTTCAACATTTAATCGGCTAATTTTGAACCTAACTGCATTGCAACCCATTTTTTGCTTGATAAAATGTTGCCCTATATACCAAGGTTCATTTGATTGATTGATTATACATTGCTTTGTATAGAGTGTTGTATCTGAATATATTTATCATGTATTGGAGGTTTTAGTTTTGTGCGTTAGTGCTGTATGGCAAGGTATAGTTGTGTGTGGTTGTATGCTGTATGGCAAGGTGTAGTTGTGTGTGCTCGTGTTGTATGCTGTATGGCAAGATGTAGTTGTGTGTGCTAGTGTTGTATGCTGTATGGCAAGGTGTAATTAGACGTTGAAGTACTGTATGTTGTATGGCAAGGTGTAGTTGTGTGTGCTAGTGTTGTATGCTGTATGGCAAGATGTAGTTGTGTGTGCTAGTGTTGTATGCTGTATGGCAAGGTGTAATTAGACGTTGAAGTACTGTATGTTGTATGGCAAGGTGTAGTTGTGTGTGCTAGTGTTGTATGCTGTATGGCAAGATGTAGTTGTGTGTGCTAGTGTTGTATGCTGTATGGCAAGGTGTAATTAGACGTTGAAGTACTGTATGTTGTATGGCAAGGTGTAGTTGTGTGTGCTAGTGTTGTATGTTGTATGGCAAGATGTAGTTGTGTGTGCTAGTGTTGTATGCTGTATGGCAAGGTGTAATTAGACGTTGAAGTACTGTATGTTGTATGGCAAGGTGTAGTTGTGTGTGCTAGTGTTGTATGTTGTATGGCAAGATGTAGTTGTGTGTGCTAGTGTTGTATGCTGTATGGCAAGGTGTAGTTGTGTGTGCTAGTGTTGTATGTTGTATGGCAAGATGTAGTTGTGTGTGCTAGTGTTGTATGCTGTATGGCAAGATGTAGTTGTGTGTGCTAGTGTTGTATGCTGTATGGCAAGGTGTAATTAGACGTTGAAGTACTGTATGTTGTATGGCAAGGTGTAGTTGTGTGTGCTAGTGTTGTATGCTGTATGGCAAGGTGTAATTAGACGTTGAAGTACTGTATGTTGTATGGCAAGCGCTAACCTTATTTCATGGTTTGGTTCTGGGGGAAAAATACGAATGTATGTCCAGTTAAACACTTTTCGGTCTGACTAGTAAATGGACGGGTGTTGAACCACATGGAAGTGTCTTAAAAATGCATTTGTCCATCAGGCATTGTATTCTCCTTTCTTACCATACCACAGGGGTACAATGTACTCCTAATGTACCACAGGGTACAATGTACTCCTAATGTACCACAGGGTACAATGTACTCCTAATGTACCACAGGGTACAATGTACTCCTAATGTACCACAGAGTACAATGTACTCCTAATGTACCACAGGGTACAATGTACTCCTAATGTACCACAGGGGGTACAATGTACTCCTAATGTACCACAGGGTACAATGTACTCCTAATGTACCACAGGGTACAATGTACTCCTAATGTACCACAGAGTACAATGTACTCCTAATGTACCACAGGGTACAATGTACTCCTAATGTACCACAGGGTACAATGTACTTCTAATGTACCACAGAGTACAATGTACTTCTATTGTACCACAGGGTACAATGTGTACACTACCGTTGTACGCTTACAAACCCGCACCAATCCATCTGGCTATCGACGCCGATTCTGATTAGTGCAAAAAGCGTCCATTTCCAATACTTTTATATTTAAGAGCAGCAAGGAGTGGGCTTTTGTCCCCGACGCATGCATGTGATGTCCCTCTGCCCTGGTTGTGGTGTCCCTCACCCCCCAGACCATTGTTTGGGCGTGAAGGTGATTCAGTCTCATGAACTCATTCAACTCGATTCTTCTCCTAGGATGAGAAGCATGAAGGAGGGTGAGGATTGAGAGCGTGTTTGGGCAACATTTACACTAGTGAGGAGGGCCCTGGGGGGGGGGGGGGCGGCGGCTGGTGGATGGTTGGGTCGTAACACTCTACCAAATGTTTATATCCGCCAGGGAGCAGCAGTAAGGGGTGTCGCTGAAAGGCACTCGGGAATGGCGCCGTTATCAAGCGCTGGTGCAGCTTCCAAAACGCTTTTTGCAGTATTGAATCTGACGCGTGTTGCTTTTAGCCCGGACGTGCAATGTAGGTGTTGCAACAGCCAGTGACAGTGATGCCATGGGGGGGGGGAGAGGGGGGGGAGGTCTATTGCACCAAGTGTGTTCGCTAGAGGGGGGGGGTTATGGGGGGTACCCCCCATGGGCACAACCCCCCCAGATGGCGATGGGATCGTCAGCTCTCCCGTTTGCATGGCAATGTATAGGCGGGAATGGCAGGCGAGAAACCATTTCTTCCGAGAGGAAAGCATGTGGGTCCTCGTTAACTCGACACAGGAAACACGCACAGAGGATTGACAGATGTTTGAAATATCATTTTGCGGTCCACGATTATTGGAGACTGTTGGGGGAGGGGGGGAGGGGGGGGGTTGTTATATAGAAAAAATGGGTTAACTTTAAGTCATATACATGAATACAGAATGCTATAGGGAAATGCTTGTTAATGTGTCTTTTTAAAATCTTGGGTTTTCTCTTGTGTGTGGAGGTAATCACTGTGAACTCTCTCTTTCAGGATGTAAACTTTCACATGTTACCAATTGGGTAGTTAGTGCTGGATGCTGATATGTTATACTCAATGGCGACTTGTTACAGGTGTGTTACGGAGACGCTGCCAGTGTTGGAGGTGGTGACAGATGTGTTACTATGCCACAGACACGGTGCCAGTGTTGGTAGAGGTGAGAGGTGTTACACATGTGTTACTGTGTTACAGAGACGGTGCCTGTGCTGCTGCTGGTCGGGGGCGTGGTGGCCCTGGTGGTCGTGGCCGTGGTCGTCGCCTCCCTCGTGTTATGCAACAAACGACACACCACGATCAAAGGTGAGAGAGAGACAATTACCTTCCTTGTTAGACAACTTGCAAAACTGAGGAGCCAATCCATTAGCATAATGTCAGCCAACATCAAGTTCTTGATGACCAATGTTAACGATCTGTCTCGTGAATACTCCCCGTCCTGACCCCGACTTGTTCAGGACACGTGGTTAGACAACAGGACTCCTTCTAAGATTGCCAGCTCTAGTTAATGGATGCCTTGTAGCAGGCCTGGCCAAGATGGCCTGGCCAATATGGCGTGGCTGCAGTATATTTCAGGAAATCTGTGCGTGTTTGACCAACTGATGTCATTAAACACTTGGATAAAATAGTTTTTCAAACATATATAAATCTTATAGACCATCCATACTTGTGTGGGGCATAGTCAAGGTTGCAATGTATTTTGTCCAATCAAATTTCTAATGGTCTTGATTATTGTATTGAAACGCCTGTCAGCACATTATTGTGGGAGACTTCAACCAGGCTCTCACTGAGAGGGACTGTGACGAGCTGCTACAGTAGTCGACCTGAAGCATTGTGTGACTCTCTGAAATGTCTCAGGGTTGTCTTGAGATCCAGTCGTGACTGATCTTACTGGGGTAGGTAGACCCATTAGGCCACCAGGCTGTCTTCTCTACATTGGCTATCCTGATAGATAGCCTGATAGAATGGGGGTGAATAATCAACTCAGACAGCCTGGCTGTAGGCGGGTAACTTCGCCAGGGCTTTGATCACAACCAGAAACAACTTGCTTTAATATGACACGACTAGCCAATCAAATCTTCAGTCGGCCAGACGTTTGAGGCTAGACTCACGCAAATTTGTAGAGGGAATGGTCAGGGGTGTGGGCCCCCCTCTACTCTCACACAGCCCCCCTCTTCTCACTCTCTCTCTCTCTCTCTCTCTCTCTCTCTCTCTCTCTCTCTCTCTCTCTCTCTCTCTCTCTCTCTCTCTCTCTCTCTCTCTCTCTCTCTCTCTCTCTCTCTGAAGATTTGTTTACAAAGCACTTAAAATAATAACTCTAATGGGACGTAATTCGCCGATTTCAGAATTCATGACAAACGCCGGTGTTGCTCAGGTCTTTCTTTCAACATTAAAGAAAGATGAAAAACTGCTCGAAAATTAAATGAAAAGCCCCCCCCCCCCTTCCCCTCACGGATTTCAAACTTCATGAAAATCACATACTGTATGTAATTCACCACAAGGCAACAAACAGGGGGTCACTTTCGAAACCGATATTTCTTAAAGTAATACAATGTGGCCGACCTAGATCAACCTTTGACCGTCACATACCACCCATGTGTCACACTGAAAAGTTGGACAAGGCTAGACCCAAGTATCTGGCGTCATGACCATTGTCTCCGGTACAGGTGTACACGGGGTAAGGTAGAAGACACTTTCTTGGACCTTTTTGGACGCTTTCGAAGGTTGCGGTGCAGACCTTGACATATAAATATACGTGAAGGAATATAACAATATACTCAGTATGCTGGCGGTGCGGCGCGCTAATGAACGCTCCGGAAGAGACGTTCACGTATTTTCCAAAAAGTTAATTTTCGAGAATCTTAGAATTTATTATTGCAAAAAGTCTTTATTGTATTAACTTTGAGCGATGTAATCAGGAATGCAAAATTTGGAACAGAAGCATTGAGGAAAATGGAGGACACATTCGTTAGGTATATTGTAAACATATTTAATTCCTATGGTTATAATAATATATACATGACAGCACGAACAAGCTTGTTGATCAAGTTCCTTTAATTTTATATATGGCAACTTATAAGAATTAAAAAAAACTATTAACATATAAAGCACTTCGTCGGTTTATTAGTAGTACTAACCTAGTTGTACTCCCCTAGTTGTGCTTGCGGGGGTTGAGCTCTGGCTCTTTGGTCCCGCCTCTCAACCGTCAATCAACTGGTATACAGATTCCTGAGCCTACTGGGCTCTATCATATCTACATTAGAAACTGTGTATGGAGTCAGCCTCCACCACATCACTGCCTAATGCATTCCATCTGTTAACTACTCTGACACTGAAAAAGTTCCTTCTAACGTCCCTGTGGCTCATGTGGGTACTCAGTCTCCCCCTGTGTCCCCTTGTTCGTGTCCCACCCGTGTTAAACAGTTTATCTTTGTCCAGTATGTCAGTAGTGTGTGGTATATTGTGCAAGATCATAGCATGACGGGAATAAGGAAAACTATAAAAGGCTTATATTGACCCATGTGAGGCAGATCATATTTATACCAAACTCGTACATATCAAACCTTGGCTTGAAATAGTTCCATAAACCCACAACACATGACGTATTCAGGCGATGAGTCACAATAACGTGGCTGAAGAATGTTGACCAGACCACACACTAGAAGGTGAAGGGACGACGACGTTTCGGTCCGTCCTGGACCATTCTCAAGTCGACTGTGAGGTCTTCACATGACGTAACCAGAGTTTGGTCAGGTTTTCTCAACCTAAACTTATCCAATTTGTAGCCATTGTTTCCTCTTCTATTTTCCGTTTTGTTTTGCTACTTGTTTACTTCAATCAAGTCTAGCCTAAGATTACCTTCATGGTGGAGGTGTCTTAGTCCGGGATTACTTTGTCATGCATCGCTCCAGTGCGGCGCTGTAGGGTGAATTACACAATATAATGGGACCTAAACAAGGACAAGAAACTAAAGAGTGTCGTACGTCCAAAATTTAGTTAATTTCACCTTTTTTAGAGGCGCTGGAACCTTTCCTAGAGGTGCTGGAACCTTTCTTAGTGGTGCTGGAACCTTTCTTAGAGGTGCTGGAACCTTTCTTAGTGGTGCTGGAACCTTTCTTAGAGGTGCTGGAACCTTTCTTAGTGGTGCTGGAACCTTTCTTAGAGGTGCTGGAACCTTTAATAAAGGTTCCAACACCTTATAATAAAGGTTCCAACACCTTATAATAAAGGTTCCAACACCTTATAATAAAGGTTCCAACACCTTATAATAAAGGTTCCAACACCTTATAATAAAGGTTCCAACTCCTTATAATAAAGGTTCCAACACCTTATAATAAAGGTTCCAACACCTTATAATAAAGGTTCCAACACCTCATAATAAAGGTTCCAACACCTTATAACAAGAGATGCTGGAACCTTTATTATAAGGTATTGGAACTATTATTTCGATCCCCTCATGAAAACGAAGCACTGAACACGAAGCATTATAACGAGGTTTCGAAAAAAATACGGGCGACTGTCTATCTTTTCTTGGTGATTGGAGGAAGATAAGAGAGAGATCGGCTTCCTATGTTGGGCCTCGAGGCTACACACACACACACACACACACACACACACACACACACACACACACTTTCACACACACACTCTCACACACACACACACACACACACACACACACACACACACACACACACACACACACACACACCACACACACACACACACTCACACACACCAACGGTCCTACTTTTATTCATTAATACTTAATCGTCGTTCCTAAAAAGTTGGTTTTGTCCCGTTAGACCCGTTAGACCCGTTAGACCGGGGGAAGAACAGAACACTCAACAGAGCGAAGCGCCGTGGAACGGCTGTTAGGGTAAAGCGTCCGAAATGGCTGAAACATCAGAGTTGAAATTGAAAAGGAAATTGAAATCGTGCAGATAACAGAGACTTGGATGGGGGGGGGAGGAGGGGTCAGAAAATAAAAAAAATAACAGTCTAGCCTGAAAATAACAGACATTTACTGGTGTGTTGAAAAGATACACACACACACATATCGGGTTAGGCTTAGTTCAAACTAGGTCAAAACCTTCATGAAATGAATACTTGGTCATTTGTTTTTTGTTTGTTATAATTGAGTTCCCAAAATGTATATCTTGTGGTGTATATGAAGCATATATATGGGGTGCCGAGCGGACAGCACGCTGGGCTTGTGATCCTGTGGTCCTGGGTTCGATCCCAGGCGCCGGCGAGAAACAATGGGCAGAGTTTCTTTCACCCTATGCCCCCTGTTACCTAGCAGTAAAATAGGTACCTGGGTGTTAGTCAGCTGTCACGGGCTGCTTCCTGGGGGTGGAGGCCTGGTCGAGGACCGGGCCGCGAGGACACTAAAAAGCCCCGAAATCATCTCAAGATAACCTCAAGATAACCTTACATGAAAACTGAAATGAAAACTCCACACCCCAGAAGTGACTCGAACCCAGACAGCCAGGAACACTATGCAACTGGCGTACATGGTACCTTAACCACTCGACCAACAGTGACACGTGTACGGCCACGGAGAAACAAAATGGGCAGGGTTTATTTCACCCTGATGCCCCTTTTACCTAGCAGTAAATAAGTACCTGGGAATTAGACAGCTGTCACGGGCTGCTTCCTGTGTGTGTGTGTGTGTGTGGAAAAAAAAATAGTAGTAACAGTCGATTGATTGACAGTTGAGAGGCGGGCCGAAAGAGCAAAACTCAACCCCCGCAAACACAACCAGGTGAATACAACCAGGTGAATACAACCAGGTGAATACAACCAGGTGAAAAGAACCAGGTGAATACAACTAGGTGAATACAACCAGGTGAATACAACCAGGTGAATACAACCAGGTGAATACAACCAGGTGAATACAACCAGGTGAATACAACCAGGTGAATACAACCAGGTGAATACAACCAGGTGAATACAACCAGGTGAATACAACCAGGTGAATACAACCAGGTGAATACAACCAGGTGAATACAACCAGGTGAATACAACCAGGTGAATAACTGTTCATATTATACTAGAAACAATCGGGACTGTTCCCCCTTTTTACAGTATAAATCACCAGCTGGGGAACCCAATGGTTGCATCACGCTAAGTCATAAGCCCCATTCTCCCCCCACAAAGGCGTCACCAAACAGCCTTAAAGTCCTTGAAGTATAGCACGTTCTTGCCCCAAGAGGAACAACCCTTTCCCGTATGCAGGAAAAACTTAAGAGGAAGGAAGCGGCCGAACCACCCCGGCCTCCCTTGTTAATTACTGCCTTGTA